ATGGGCTAGGGAATCTTTTCAGGTTATTGATAATAAGGATTCACGGGTTTAACATGTTCATAATTAATCATTTTCTAGATGGAGGTTTTGAATTTGACCTTTCCCTTTATTACTTCCTATCACTTCACCCCACCTAGCACATTCCTTTAGCTTGATCTTGCCATGCTATTCACTCAATATTAGAACTTGCATTTCTTAAATATTTGTGATCCTTGCCTTTTTTAAAATATTTTATACAACTTAGTGCGAACAGAAGTTTTTAAAATTATGTGTTGAGCATTTCATCTCATTTTCTAAATTGTTTGAAATTTTACGTGTGATAGGACGATGTCATGATTGAAGAGATTGCTACAAGCCAAACCAATCAGGAGTCAGCTTTGTGTGTTCAGAAGGACAATTTCAACCTAACAAATAACAAGTGTTCTTCACCAATAGTTTCCAAGAAGAAGAATAAAAAGGGTGGGCTTTCTATGTTCTTGAGTGGCGCTCTTGATGATGCCCCCAAGTTTGTTGCACCACCTCCACCATCTCCAAAAAGTGAAGGCCCTGCATGGGGTGGGGCTAAATTTTCCAAAGGTTTTGCATCCCTTCGTGAGATTCAGGATGAGCAAGGCAAAACCAAGGAGAGTCGGTCAACTAGGAACAAAAATCACGTGGAAGATCCTTCTGATGCGAGAAGCGATGGGAAGATTCGACTGAGTTCGTTTTTACCTTCCAAGCCAATACCATTGGTCTCAGCCCATACTTCACTGGCATCTGATGGAGAAAGATGTACACCTCCTTGGACTGCGTCAGGAACTCCTCCCCTTGTTTCCCGGCCATCTCTTAGGGACATCCAAATGCAGCAGGTATATGACTTGCACATCTTTCTCGTATATCATGTTTTCCTGCATATAGTTTACAGAACTCTTACCTGTCTTTTTACGTCTCAAAGCAAGGAAAGCAACACCAGAGTGTTTCCCACAGTCCAAAGACAAAAACCGCCGGATTCTCAGTCACAACAAGTGGTCAGGGATCGCCACTGGATACTTCCGGAGTGAACCGCTGGTTCAAACCGGAGGTAGATCAACCATCGCCAATTCGGTCAATTCAGATCGAGGAAAAGGCTATGAAGGAGCTTAGGCGCTTCTACGACAGTGTCAAGATTGTCAAGAAGCCGATGGTGAATTAGGTAGAAATTTAGGCATCTCCCTGTTCCTTTGATTTACATTTTGGGTTAACACAATGCTGTAAGTTTGACTGTATAGATTTAGCTTTGCTTTGCACATATATCATCCCTTCAAATCCGTAAAGTAGCAGTTGTTTTCTTCTCATGCTCCCTTGAGACTTTTAATTCAGGGAGTTATGTTCATAATATAGAACTATATAATGTCAATAAATCCGTAAAAGTATATTTTTCCGATTGGAGAATTTAGTTCAAATGATTCATTTTAATTTTTCCATGATTTTATTTACAGTAGTTTTGCGGTTATCCCATTTAATATAAGTTTTATTGTTGAAATACTTGTTCATTCTTTCAATTTTTTTGTTTTTTTTTTTTTTTTTGCTAGGATTTAGAATAATGAAATTGTATTGCTTCCCTTTAGAAGTATGATATTAAAACAGAATACAAAGTTCTTACACAAATAGTTTTCACAAAATGGTTAATGTGATAGTTAAAAAAAACAAATATCAAAATTAGAAAAAGAATGAAAAACAAATAATTAGGAAAATTCATGACATAACAAGTACCCACTCAATATTGTGGTTTAGTGGTGTCCAACCATCAGGGGCATGGTGAAACAAGTCCAAGTTTTTTGGGTTCTTCTTGCATTTAACATTTTCATTTACCTTAGCACTCGAGGTTCTAGGAGGCTAGGTCTACACTAAATTGCATGAAAATTAGATTTTATTTACGTTTTGGTCATTTCATTAACTAATATTGCAAAATAAATGAAATAAAAATAACAAATTTGTTGGAATGTAAAGAAACGTAATTATGCAAATTTTGTTGATATATCATGCAACGTATATGTCTTTTTAAGTAATCATAATTTTTTCACTTAAAAAAGTAATCATATTTTCATGATAGTAAACTTTATGCAGTTGCGGACTATGTTGATAGATGCACATTCATATGTCAAACAAATGATTGAATTAGAAATGAAAAATAGACTTTAATTAGTTTGAGATATTTGAGAAAACTAGAAATTAACTATGCTCTCTCACTTGCAAACTTACAAAGATATAGAGAGTCAAATAGAACGTCAAACTCAACAAGTAAATCTATAGAGATGAGATATAGTCTCTTCAACAAAAAATTGTGTTCAACAAAAAATCAAAATCTGTAGCAATTGGGTTTTTACATCTAAAATCTGGATAAGATTACTAATTATTCAAGTATGATTAGTAAATCTCCGAAGTCTTACATATAAATATCACCTCTCACTTAATGCACTTATCATTCTACTCTTAATCCCATTCTTTCAATCTCATCTTCATTAGCTCCATCGAATGCTAAAAATGAGTATCCCGCAAACTCACGGTTAGTTACTTTTATTTCTCAGGTTTTTTGCTTTTCTTTTTTTCTTCATAATTTTCATAAAGAAAAAACTCAATTTAAGGTGGCTTGTTCTTTTTTTTTTTTGTTTTGGCATTAATAGGTGATTATTAGGATTGCAATTGCTATTAAATTTGGGGTTGGTAACAACCTTGGTGTATTGTCAAGGGGGTTTGTTGATGTCTTGATGAACGGCATCTCAGCATATGTTGCTGGATTTGCTTGGTTTTGGGAATCTAGGTTGGTGGATTTGCATGGTCTTGGACCTCTAGGATGGATGGTGCAGGGAGTTTGTTGAGGTCTTGATGAACGGCATTTCTGCATATGTTGCTGGATTTGCATGGTTTTGGGAATCTAGGTTGGTGGATTTGCATGGTCTTTGACCTCTAGGATGGGCGGTGAGAAGTGAAATTTTCCCTGTTGAAGTAAATTCACTTGCTGAATCCAGCGACATCATTACCAAAATGATCTTCAAATTTTCCATAGCTCAAGTTTCATCAAAATGCTTTGTTACTTATGTTTATCTTCTTTGTGGTCTGGGTCCTGATCATGAATGTCTTCATCTACAAATTAAACTAAAGGCGTTCCGATTGAAGAAATGCACACTATTTGATAGAAACACCCGTTTGAGATAAGTATGTCCTTCAAGACGAAGGAATTGTTATGGGCAAGGGACAACATGGTTAATGTCTAGACTTTTCCTCTGCTTTATCTTTTAAATATTGAGGCAAATTTATCACTCTACCAAAAACTTGTTACTTTTTGCTTTCAGTTCTAACATGTAGTCCAACTTAAGCAACCAAAGAGTTTTTGGCTCCCACTTTATCGGTCTAACAATATCTAATTCTTCTATTAATGTGGAATTCATTATTCACACATAAAATATGATAAAAGATTTTATGATGGTTTCGTAAAACTTCACATATTTGAACAAAAGCCATGAATTAACTCACAAATTTTGTGAAAAATGCGATAGTTGAGCATTGTTGATAAACTATTGGGTGTGTAAAAATTAGAACCCTTGGGTTTTTACAAGATTTACGCAACTAAAAAATACTCATGATTTGCCTATCTTACATTTTACATAATTCCAATCAGGATAATGTTAAGAATACCAAATTTTTAACCAAATTTAAAAATAAAAAATAAATACGTGAATCGATACTTAATTAATAATTCAATTATCAACATTCACATTATTTGCTTTAAAAATTTATCCTCTTCAACCTTTCTCTTCCAATTTGATTGAATCTGTGTGTTGTCCTGCGTCAGGAGCACCAAGCACTTTTCAATGGAATCAAACTTTTAGATTTATTGAAGTGTGGGAAAGGCTTGGGTGATTGGCTTGTAGTCATATAGCCTAAGTGTGAACGAGTCATCTTTGTCAAATTTCCAGTTATCATTACAAGACAATGTAGTTGGGGTGACAAAATCCCGCGGTCGGTGACACAAAAGCTTTTCATCTTTGAAAAAAAAGCTTGTCCATTACTTTATATATATATTAGATCCGGAAACACATTTTTCCAGGAGGATCTGGAAATTCTCTAATCACATCCGATCATCGTAAATTGTACAATTAGAAATTATTATAATTTTTTTATTTAAAATTGAATATAAACAGTACATGATAAAAACTGACTGCACGATGTACGATGAACGGATGTGATTGGAAGATCCGGTGAGGATCCTCTATCACACATTTTGACACATATTTTGTTGAATTCATTTCTTAATGTATTTCAATAATTAAAGTTGTTCATAAATGATTCTTGCAAAAAATTAGGTAAAATTAAAATCATTAAAATGTTCATAATAGACAGTATGAATTGTTGAAAAATATTACAAAGTGAGCCCTACAAAATAAGTGTAAATATGTGTCAAAAGCGTGTGCCTCTAATGTCTGTGGTATTGGCCAAAAGGAAAGGGCTTATATCTGAGAGACAGAATCTTTGAGTTTAATAAAGAAAAGTATTTCCTAATAACAAGCAAAAGAAATTAGATAGTCTAAAAGCTCCTTACACATCAAGAAAAAAAATAATAAAAGCTTCTTGAGGATGAAGTTAAGCACCTTTAGTTTTCTTATCTCCCTATCTCCTCCTCCTCCCAATCTTTTTATCCTTTACTTGCCCACCCAACTGGAATCCCACTACCTCTGTTTCCCATTTATCGTTCTCTTTTCCATTTTTTCTGCACCAAAAGAATTAAAAGACATATTTATGTATATATATTCAAAAAGTAGTGAATTAAATACGTAAAGGATGAAGAAGTTAAGAAACATATCTGTCATGCGGCAAATTTTAGGTGTAACCAGTTGCATCTCTCTCATGTAATGTGATGAGAGAAGTAGAGTGATGAAAATATACAATCGATATGATAAAAACCTTGCTCGCATGCATTACTTAATAGTTTTGCTACACCAAAAAAAAAAAAAAAAAAAAAAAAAGTTAAGAAACGTCAATTTTACGGTAAAATCTCAAGTGTAATCAATTGTACTTTTTATCTCTCATTACATGAAGTGATGAGAGAATTCGAGATATGCAATCGGTCACGGGATGGAATATCTCCCCTCATACTTTACTTAACATTATTTATAGCTTCTCTCCATAACCATGATGCCTCTTCTCTCTTACTTGAAAGTGGAGTATGATAGTAGCTAGCTAAGAAACTCTACAGTACCAAAGCTAGCTACACATTTTCTGTGACATTTTGATCACTCAAGAACCAACGTTATGGCTACTGTACGGAAACTGATAGTTGAGGTTGTCGATGCTCGAAATCTGTCGCCGAAAGACGGGCACGGGACGTCGAGCCCGTACGTGGTGATGGACTACTACGGGCAGCGGAAGCGGACGCAGACAAAGATACGAGACCTAAACCCCGTGTGGAACGAGTTGCTCGAGTTCAACGTTGGCAAGCCTTCCGATGTTTTTGGGGATGTGCTGGAGCTCGATGTCCACCACGACAAGAACTACGGACCCACCCGGAGGAACAACTTCCTCGGGAGGATCCGACTGAGTTCCACTCAGTTTGTCAAGAAAGGCGAGGAGGCTTTGATTTATTTCCCATTGGAGAAGAAGAGCTTCTTTAGTTGGATTCAAGGTGAAATTGGCTTGAAGATTTATTACGTCGATGAGGTTGTCCCGCCGCCTGCACCACCAACACCGCCGCCTCAAGCGGAAGAGCCAAAGGCTGAAACTGCACCGCCTCCGTCGTCGGAGGCGCCGCCGCCACCAGAATCTGACTCAACCCCACCACCAGGCGAGAAGGAAACTAAGGCGGACCCACCACCGGAAGCAGAACAAGCACCGCCACCGGAAGGTGAGAAGCCCGCCGAAGAACCACCGACTGAGGTGGTGCCACCACAGGAAACTGTAGCTCCTGAAGATGTACAGTCTGATCCTCCACCGGGGCCGACGTCAACACCACCACCACCCACTGATGATGCAAATCATGATCAAGGGGATCCGCCGCCGCCGCCACCACCTGAAGCAGCCATGCAACGTGAACCCGAAATAGAGATGATTGGAGCCGCCGTATCGAAATCAGTTCCAGATGTCAAATTCCATGGAATCAACGGCCCACAGCCAATGCCAAGGCCACCAGTAATGAACTATACGTCGCAGCTGGAGCCAACAGAAAGCATGTCGATGGATCGGCCGTCGTTTGATCTGGTGGAGAAGATGCACTACCTCTTCGTCCGAGTGGTGAAGGCGCGCTTCATTCCCTCCAGCGGCAGTCCGATCGTTAAAATCTCCACTGCCAACCACCATATCACGTCCAAACCCGCCAGAAAAACCCAATGCTTCGAGTGGGACCAGACCTTCGCCTTCGCCCGCCAATCCCCCGACCAATCCGACGCCTCCATCCTCGAAATTTCAGTGTGGGACCCGCCCATGTTTGACCCCGCGACCGCCTCGGTTGCCTCCGGGCATCACTTCCTCGGTGGAATCTGTTTCGACGTGACGGAAATTCCCCTGAGAGACCCGCCCGACAGCCCCTTGGCCCCGCAGTGGTACAGGCTGGAGGGCGGCGGGGCCCGCATGAACGGCGACCTGATGCTCGCCACGTGGATGGGAACTCAGGCGGACGATTCGTTTCCCGACGCGTGGAAGACCGATACAGCCGGTAACCCAAACGCGCGAGCCAAAGTCTACCAATCGCCGAAGCTGTGGTATCTCCGAGCAACAGTCCTCGAAGCCCAAGACGTTCTCCCCATGACGCCGTCGTTGACGGAGTCATCTGTCCAAGTCAAAGCCCAGCTCGGATTCCAGTCCCTCAAGACCGACCCCGCAGTCACCCAAAACGGCACGCTGTCGTGGAACCAAGACTTGATGTTCGTAGCCGCGGAGCCGTTCAGCGATCGTTTAATTTTCACTGTAGAGAATCGGCTAGCGAAAGGACCGGTCACATTGGGGGTGGCTACAATACCCCTTACCGCCATCGAACGACGCGTCGACGACCGCAAAGTGGCTTCGAGATGGTTCTCATTGGAGAGCCCAGGCGAGGAAGACCAGAAGAAGAGGACGGTGTACAGAGGCAGAATGCACCTGCGCCTCTGTTTCGACGGCGGGTATCACGTGATGGACGAGGCAGCGTACGTGTGCAGCGACTACCGGCCCACCGCGAGGCAGCTCTGGAAGCCGCCGCTGGGCACCGTCGAGCTCGGCGTCATCGGGTGCAAGAACTTGATACCTGTCAAGACGGTGAGCGGTAAGGGATGTACGGATGCGTATTGCGTGGCAAAATATGGATCCAAATGGGTACGGACACGGGCCGTGTGCGATAGCTTGGAGCCCAAATGGAACGAGCAGTATACGTTTAAAGTATACGATCCGTGTACGGTGTTGAGCATCGGCGTTTTTGATAGCTCTGGACCGGGATTCAAAATCGACGGCTCGACAGATGCCACGCGTCCCGATTTTCGTATCGGGAAGCTCCGCTTGCGTATTTCGACGCTGGCTACGGGTAGAGTATACAGAAATACGTATCCGCTGTTGCTTTTGTCTCCCGCCGGTTTGAAAAAAATGGGGGAGGTGGAGGTGGCCATACGGTTTGTTCGAGTGTGTCCGACGTTGGATTTGATCCACGCGTACTCGCAGCCTTCACTGCCGTTGATGCACCACATAAAGCCGCTAGGTGTGATGCAACAGGACCTACTGCGCAGGGCGGCGGTTAAGATCGTCGCCGCACACCTGTCTCGCTCGGAACCGCCGCTCGGGCGCGAGGTTGTGATTTACATGCTGGACGCGGATTCGCAGGGATTCAGCATGCGGAAAGTGCGCGCCAATTATTTCCGGATCATCAATGTCGTAGCAGGGGTTGTGGATGTCGTAGCGTGGATAAACGACACGCGTTCTTGGAAGAAACCGATGGCAACGATTCTTGTGCACGCACTGCTGGTGCTGCTCGTTTGGTTCCCGGATCTGATCGTGCCCACCCTGTTGTTTTACGTGTTTGTGATTGGCGCGTGGAACTACAGGTTTCGCTCTCGGGCCCCACTCCAGCACTTTGACCCGAAGCTCTCGCTGGCGGACAACGTTGACCGGGACGAGCTGGACGAGGAGTTTGATGCGGTGCCGAGCAACAGGCCGTATGAGGTGGTGCGGGCGAGGTACGACAAGCTTAGGATGTTGGGGGCACGCGTGCAGACCGTGCTGGGAGATTTTGCAACGCAAGGGGAACGAGTGCAGGCGCTGGTGACGTGGCAGGATCCGCGGGCGACGGGGATCTTTGTGGTGTTGTGTTTGGTGGTGGCGATGATACTGTACGTGGTGCCGTCGAAGATGGTGGCGATGGCGTTTGGGTTCTATTATCTCCGTCATCCGATATTCCGTGATCGGATGCCGTCGCCGGCTTTGAACTTCATTCGACGGCTTCCGTCGTTGTCTGATCGCCTTTTGTGAGATTGATTATTTCATCATGTTTTTAATTAATCAAGCTTAAGCTTCTGTTTTGTAACGTTTGGATAATCAACTGCTTTTGCTTAGGCAAAGCAAGTGAAGTAACATTAATAAGCATGTGTATCTATAATTCTTGTAAGATACATATATGTAATGCTTTTTGGTACATGAGTAGAATTTGCATCAACAACAAACAAACATTATACCACTAAATAGAATCGGCTATATGAATTCTAAAACGTGACTCCGCTCGTTTTTGCACAAAGTCTTTCGTTAACTCCAATACGTCCTATCTTGAGTAGAAATTGCAAACAGTTAATATTATCCATCAAAGTCAGTTCATTGTTCATTGAAGAAGCCAACAAGAAGTCCGTGTCCTGTTTCAATAAAGTGAGAGTCAAATTGTCCATCTATAACTTCACGTTTTTCACTCAACTCTCTTCTGCCCTCCACTCCCTCACTCACTCACTATTCCTTCAAGTTCAACACAGAACAGATAAAGCTCATTGCCTCTCCACTCCATTACTCCTCTGTAAGTTCCCACTTCTCACTTTTTAGTACATGCAACTTCTTTAATTACTCCCATTTTTTGTTTCTGGAAAAGGGAAACTTTTAGTTCGTCTCTTGTTCGGTTTCAGATTTTCGTTACCGGTAATTTACGATCAGATGCTAAGGGGGATAAACGAACTTTATTTCGAGTTTTGGTGGGGAAGGAGGATTAAGGAGCAATGTTGAGGAGCTCAAACTATTCGTGTCTTGTGCTTCTCACTTGTTTTATTGTCTTTAGTTGCTTGAAAAATGGATTCTCTTCTGTTTCTACTATTTTGATCAAAGGGTGCTTCTGATTCCTTTCTCCGAGTCTAATTTTTGCTGCAGTTTTTCTTTTTTCTGTCGCACCCCGACCGCGCAAACTGTTATTCCCTTGCTGCCTGAATTCTTGAAAATTATATGATGGTTGCTTTCTACTTTTCATGTTCTAGTTTTAGACCTGTTTTCTTTTCTAGTATTGGTTGTGAATTTGTGATGTTGCTGTTATACATTCATCCTCAAAAGTGGCTTTCTAATTGAGCGCCGCGTTACATTCTTGTGTAAATATTTGGAACAGGAAATGGCTAGGAATCCCTTCTTGTTGGGGTTTCTTTTAGTTTTCTGCATAGCTATTGCAGAGGCAGAATACATTAAATATAAAGATCCCAAACAACCATTGAATTCTCGAATCAAGGATCTACTGAGCCGGATGACGTTGGAGGAAAAGATTGGCCAAATGGTGCAGATAGACCGCAGCGTTGCTTCGCCTGAGGTGATGAAGAAGCACTTCATTGGTAAACATTACTATTCTCTCTCTCGTCTCTGCATAAAATATATATAGAAAGAATGGAAGCAGTCCTTCTGCATGTATATGAAGATTAGTTGGATTTTAAGGGTAGAGGAAATTTGTCTTGGGCAGGAAGTATATTAAGAGGGGTTGTGAATGTTCCGCCACAAAAGGATTCTGCAGAAACTTGGATTAACATGGTGAATGATCTTCAGAAGGGTTCTTTATCAACTCGGCTTGGAATTCCGTTTATTTTTGGTATCGATGCTGTTCATGGCCACAATAATGTTTACAAAGCAACAATCTTTCCTCACAATGTTGGCCTTGGAGCAACCAGGCAAGTAGATGTCCTCCATTGCTAACATATCACTGAGCTGTAACTTATTTTGTAATCCTAGTCTCAAAGTAATATTGATTGAATTTAAAGTAGATATTGTGCTAAAATTTATTAGCAATAGAGAAATTTGTTTTTTCGACTCTTAACTTTTAGTCGTATTAAGAGATCAACCCATATGAAATTCAAGGAGTAAATATACTGATATCAACTTGATCGAACTTAAAATCAACTAGGGATCCTGAACTTGTTAAAAGGATCGGAGCTGCAACTGCGCTTGAAGTTAGAGCTACAGGCATTCCTTACGTCTTTGCACCTTGTATAGCGGTAACTTAAATAAACTGTATATATCTGATGATTGATATGAACACAAGTCAATTTATGCTGGCACTGAACTTCATATTGATTTTGTCCATGCAGGTCTGCAGAGATCCAAGATGAATCAACTAGGGATCCTGAACTTGTTAAAAGGATCGGAGCTGCAACTGCGCTTGAAGTTAGAGCTACAGGCATTCCTTACGTCTTTGCACCTTGTATAGCGGTAACTAAAATAAACTGTATATATCTGATGATTGATATGAACACAAGTCAATTTATGCTGGCACTGAACTTCATATTGATTTTGTCCATGCAGGTCTGCAGAGATCCAAGATGGGGTCGATGTTATGAAAGCTACAGTGAAGATCCCAAGATTGTGCAAGCAATGTCTTAAATTTCAAGTAGACGGGCCATGGGCCCACTCCAACAACACCGATATTGTCCCCAATTGGCCACCTGCTCAATCCGTCAGGTGTGGGGTTTTAATACAAAAGGCATCGGTGTTAGTTAGAATGGGGTAATTCTTCTGGCTAATGTGGGACAAAGGAATTCTAACACTCCCCCGCACTTGAGACCCCATTTTATGGGTCACACGTGGAGTTCCACACATCGGCAACCATGTGGAGCCAAGTTGGGGCTCACCCATTTGTGCGGGGCCAAAGGGGACCCACCCGTTCACGTGGATGTACGGACCCGTCCCCTGGCTCTGATACCATCTTAAATTTCAAGTAAACGGGCCATGGGCCCACTCCAACAACACCGGTACTGTCCCCACTTGGCCACCTTCTCAATCCGTCAGGTGTGGGGTTTTAATACAAAAAGCCTCGGTGTTAGTTAGAGTGAGGTAATTCTATATAAATGGCTTGTTCTCAATCCTTCTGGCCGATGTGGGACAAAGAAATTCTAACAGAGATCATACCTGGCTTACAAGGGGAGATACCAGCTCTGAAAAGGGCATTCCCTTCGTAGCAGGAAAGTAAGAATTTTCATTCCTCGGCTTTTGACTTACTAATTTCTAGTACTAACAAGGGGTGGCTGATGTTTTATTTGGTGACTACGGCTTCACTGGCAAGCTTTCTAGAACTTGGTTCAAAACGGTTGATCAACTACCTATGAATGTTGGGGATGCACATTATGACCCTCTCTTCCCCTTTGGATTTGGGCTCACTACAACACCCAAAAAATTCAACTAGAAAAATCATGTAGCTACTCTTCTTTTTCGGTTTTAATGTGCAAGTTAAATGTCTTTTTTCTATGGACGCTCTGCGCGCGTCTTACGTCATCCTTTACTAAGAGACTTGATTCGAAGTTATTGCTTGAGGTGCAAGTTATATATGTCTTTTTACAATCTATTAGGATTTCTCATAGCTAGTGGTGGCACGATCATAATTAATTAAATCTTTTGTCAAACAATAAATTTGTTAGAGATGTTAGATTAGGACGTCGATGGGTTGGAACTCATGTCATGGTGCAAGGGCAACACTCTTCTTCACTATTGAGGTGGAGGGCTACTTGCTAATTAATTAAATCTTTTGGCTTTGCTTATATAATTTCCTTTCACAATAATAATATATTAGTGTGACGAATTAAGAAATTCTAGTTACAGTAGAAGCTAGGAAATAAGTTTTTACTTGTTATTGATCACAACAAAATTGGTGACTAATATATCCCACTTTATTTATTCAATTGAAATTATATTTAATCTAATACAAATTACAAATGAGGATTCAAATTTAGGTTATACAGAAAAAGGAGCACACTACTTTTGCTAACTTAACTGCACATGCAAGAAAGAGCACAACGATAGATTTGCTTTTTATTTTTCCCTCCTTTTTCCTTATATATCTCGAAACGGTAAAGATCCACATTTCCACTTGGGGTATCTTGCAACAGAGTTGTCCCCAGAATGTTTGATTTTGAAACAACTAGTCCTTCCATGCATACAGAAGATCATATGAGCCAGTATAGCCGTTGAACCTGGACGGACCGTTCACTTGTATCCGCCATAAACAAACGCTGTCGTCTAGTACACAACCTCCATCCCTTCCTTGGTCGTATATATCGAAATGGTGAAGTTGGCCCTGCCACTCAAAGCTGCAATAAAATAGCGTGGTCCGCCATATGTTTGGATGGAACTTAAATTCGTAGGAGTCAGCAAGGGGGACGGCATGGACACCAAGGTCATCGTCTTTGGATTTGCAGTGAACTTTCAGTGGCGAGTCGCCCGATTGATCCCACAAATAATTTTCGATCACAACAGTTACTGCATCAGACATAATTAGAATCAACATAAGCAGCATTAGCAGCAGTGCATTTCTTGCGAAGAAGGCCATGACCAGTTTGCACTTTGCATCGTTATGTACGGTAGTATTTATATAGCTAGCTAGGTTGGGTGTCGTGTCACGTATGAAAGTGCTTGATTTGCATGGCTAAATTGTGCATGCAGTTTGGCCTCAAGATACGTACAATGCGTGACGAATGAAGAAGCTATAATCACAACGAATTCGTGACTAATAATATATATGAAAATTTCCAATTGGTCGATCACTTTGCTAGCTGCTTGTTTAAAGGAAAATCAAACAAACCATTGTTGTTTCTTTGTTTTTTTTTTTTTTTCCCGAAAATAAAATAAAATTGAATTGGTTGTGTTTCTTTTTTGGATGCTATGTATTTCCTTGATTAAGTGTGTTCAATTAGTTATTTATATATAAGTGCAACATCGGGAGAGATGATTTAGCTACCGAAAAAAGCAATAATCCAAACCAATTCAAGTCATCCAATACTTGTAATATTTAATGTCTTCCATACAAATTTAGGTATAAGGAAGGAAAAACATGCATTTAAAGTGCTTCCTGGAAGAAGCACATAACTAATGCTTTTGGAATCCAAAAATAATTTTACCCAAAGTGCTTCCAGTTACTTTAAAAACATTTCCAAACGAGTTTTTTTTATTTTTTATCTCTTTCTCTTTTATGTTTTTTCATTCATTAGAAATTGGAAAGGAAATGAAAAACTTCCAAATCCAAATTAAGACAGGCTATCTAATGCTCGTAGTATTTAAGGTTACCTAGAATGGAATAATTGTCTCTGTTCTTGATGATTGATGGGTATTTAGAGTACACAAATTTAAAGAGAAAATAATTGTTTTTGCTATTTTCATGTAAGTTTATAATTTTATATTGAAATCGAGTAGGGATTTGGGAATACCCAGTAAGAGGAGAGAAGACTCTAATTCAAAAGGGTACTCTCTCTCTCTCTTGTGCCGCCTCCCTCAATCTCATCGCCTTTCCTCAATTTCTAAAACCCCACTAGCCGTTTTCGAGCGATATCGATCTCTGTAACGCAATGCATGCGTGTGTAGTGTAAGGCTGTAATTTGTGGATGAGGCAGGAAGCCAAAAACAAATGTTAAAAGTTGGAACAGTTGTTTCTTTCTTTTTAGAAGTTTGACAGGAAGAAGAATTTGGAATAATAGTCAACAAGCAAAACCACCAGTTTTATTGCCAGTGGGGCCTTCTTAATACAGACAAGAATTGTCTGCCCTCTCATTTTTGGTGCCCTTCCGTGCCCTCCTGTTTTGTGTGGTCACAATTAAGCCACGTCAACATTTTATATTATTTTTTATAGAAATAATAAGATAAAAATGAATAGTAATATAAAATATTAACGTGATTTAACCGTGACCACACAAACAAAAGGGCACGAGAGAGCACCGAAAATGGGAGGGCAGACAATCCTTGTCTCTTAATTCACCTACACCAGCAGCATCACTAATGCGGGTGCTAATCTCACCAATAAAGTAAAGATAAGCATGATGAATTATGAGTTCATCCATGAAAGCGAAATGAAAGGCAAATAAACAAATTTGGATTCCAGTAAAACTCTCTGCGTCACCTTTCTCTGCCCGCTATCGAATTGACAAATATTTTTTTTTCCAGAAATTGACAAATATATCATCACATCCAAATTTTCAGTCAACTAGCACCTAATTTTTTTTTTCTATAAAGTTCCATTTTCTGCCTCACATTGCTTTCCAAATCCCAAGTCCCAACTCAACTTCTCTCTCTCTCTTCCACAAAGCAGCAGAGCTCATTGCCAACCTCTCTCTCTGCTCATTGCCTATTGGAGTATCGGGTCTCCATTGCTTCTCTGTAAGTTCCACTTCCACATGCTACTAGTTTCTTTTGACAAATGGGAATTTATTAGTTTCCAGAAAGATGAAATGAAATACTTCACTCAGTTGTGATTCAGTTACCTCTCTCTTAGTTGTTGGGTTTCAGATTTTAGTTCCATTCAGTCACAAAAAAAAAAGGCCAGCGAAATTTCTTAAGTGTTTTGGTGGTTAATAAGGAGCAACATGCATGTGTTGTGATTGTCACTTGAAGAATAGTAAACTTTTTTTACCCTTTTTTTCATTGCTTGGAAAAGGGTTCTCTTTGATTCTGCATTTTGCTACAAGGTCCTTCTGATTCCTTTCTCTGGGATTAACTTCGGGTGCAGCATTTTTTTGTTAATAAAAGTGGTAACTTTCTATAATTTCCACCATGCAACTAATCTTCCATTGGTGCTTGAATGCTTGAGGTTCATTATATTGTGATTCCTTTCCATTGTTGCCTTAATACTTTTCTTCAAATTTTGTTCATCTTTTAACTGTTTGATGTTCTAATTTTAGGCCTTTTTTATGTTTTCGAATTTCGGTTCACAATGTTCCATAGCTCATCCTCAAACTGGCTTTCTAATTGTGCATTACATTCTTCTGTAAATTTTTTTGGGAACAGGAAATGGCTAGAACTCCCATCTTCTTGATGGGGCTTCTTCTCTCATGTTTCTTCATAGCTGTAGCAGAAGCAGAACATATTAGATATAAAGACCCCAAACAGCCGCTGAATACTCGAATCAAGGATCTATTGAGCCGGATGACGTTGGAGGAAAAGATTGGCCAAATGGTGCAGATAGACCGCAGTGTTGCTTCGTCTGAGGTGATGAAGAAATACTTCATTGGTAATCATCACTCTTCTTTCTGTCCTGCCTGTGTATAAATTATATATACATGTGTAACTACAGAAAGAATGGAATGTATCACATATGCATATGCAGATCAGTTAGATTTAAGGAAGAAGAAATTAATCTGTTTTTGGCAGGGAGTATATTAAGCGGGGGTGGGAGCGTTCCAGCACAAAGGGCTTCTCCAGAAGCATGGATTAACATGGTGAATGATTTTCAAAAAGGTTCTTTATCAACCCGGCTTGGAATTCCAATGATTTATGGTATCGATGCAGTTCATGGCCACAACAACGTCTACAAAGCAACAATCTTTCCGCACAATATTGGCCTTGGAGCTACCAGGCAAGTAGATTTGCCTTGAATACCAACATTTCGCTTAGTCTCTTTTGTCAACCTTTTGAATTTTGGAGAGAAAAAAACAACCTTTCCTTTCTCTACAATTAAATGAAGAGTTCTACGATGCGATAATTGTCTTATGTGTCCGGCATTTGATCAAGAATTTGACTGAAGCTTTCATTTTTCGTTGGTGCTGACAAATTAAAATTCCAAATACAAATAAGTTGGTGTATATATGTTCGAGTATATGATGATACTTTAACTAAATGGGATCAATTGAGAAATTTGTTTCTTCAACTGTAAAATTTTAGTCCTCTTAGTAGTTCAAACTTTAAACCATAAGAGTGAATGTATTAATGTCAACTTCCTCGTATTTAAAATCAACCAGGGACCCCGTACTTGTTAAGAGGATCGGAGCTGCAACTGCACTTGAAGCTAGAGCTACAGGCATTCCATATGTCTTCGCACCTTGTATAGCGGTAACTAAAATAAACTGTACATCTGATTAGTACCGACAGAAGTTACTTTAAGCTAAGTTGTGCTTCCTCTTAATTTTGTCTTTGCAGGTTTGCAGAGATCCAAGATGGGGTCGATGTTATGAAAGCTACAGTGAAGATCACAAAATTGTTCAAGCAATGACTGAGATCATACCTGGATTACAAGGGGAGTTACCAGCCAACTCTAGAAAGGGCATTCCCTTTGTGGGCGGAAAGTAAGAGTTTTAATTCCTCAGTTTTTTGTCATAGCCTTGTGCTTGATTTATGCTTTTTTTTGGGTCCATTTGTGCTATCAAAGATAAAACGGTCCAACATTTCTAACACATTACAAGAGTTTGAAAGGTCTTATTCTCTTTTGCATAATGTGGCGGTCCACGTTCTCGAAAATGATTGATACTCATCATAATGGTCCTGTGAAAGTTACAGTTTTGGAATATCTTGAAGTTTAACTTGGTTTTAGTTCTATTGGTCCACATAAATCCAACATGCAATGCAAGTACTAGTCGTTTTTTCTTCTCCTTCGCGTGCAGTGATGTTGGCTCTTAGAGGAAGGGAGAGATGACGAGTGTGTTTAAGCACTTTCATTGAAAAATTGGTAGCTTTTTGTAGGAAAAAAAGAGGGAAAGTGCTTGTCAAAGCATACTTTGGCACTAGGCTATTTACGGTGGTCACAAAGACCACCTATAATCCCTATATTGTTGCATTTTGATTTGTCCGAAAAGGACATATTTACAACTGCAATTCTCATGGCACATTAATTTACTGAAAGATCACCAATCATTGTCAAATTCCAAACAACACGATTGTGATCCAATTTACGAAGGTGTTTTGTTCATGTTCCGCCATTTCTGTTGGCAGTAAAAAGGTTGCAGCGTGTGCAAAGCATTACGTCGGTGATGGAGGAACAACTAGGGGCATCAACGAGAATAACACTGTGATAAACAGACACGGCTTGCTCAGTATCCACATGCCAGGCTACTATGACTCAATTATCAAAGGGGTTGCAACTATTATGGTATCTTACTCGAGCTGGAATGGAGTAAAGATGCATGCTAATCATGATCTTGTTACTGGCTTCCTTAAGAACACTCTTCATTTCAGGGTAAAAACGACTCTCTGATGTTCTTTTCGGCACTATGTCCATTTTACAATAGCCTAAGTAGAAGCTAAAAGCACTGTGAAACTTTGTGGACTATATCAGGGTTTTGTCATCTCAGATTGGGAGGGTATTGACAGGATCACGTCTCCACCTCATGCCAACTACTCATATTCAATTCAAGCAGGCGTCAATGCCGGAATTGACATGGTACTTAACATCTCTGTTGCTTTCCTTTCTTAAGTTCCATAAACTTGATGATGTGTTTGGTCTTCTAACCCCTACTTAATTGCCTGTTACAGGTCATGATTCCATACAACTATACGGAATTTATTGACGGTCTAACCTCCCTGGTGAAAAATGGAATCATTCCCATGAGCAGAATTGATGATGCTGTAAAAAGAATTTTGCGGGTTAAGTTCGTCATGGGCTTATTTGAGGAACCGTTGGCTGATCGCAGCCTGGTCGACCAACTTGGGAGTAAGGTAGACGTTGGTAAATTTATCACCATTCTACAACAATGCAGGAAACTTAATCTGGTTTTTTGTATTACTATTTTCACAGGAACACAGAGAATTAGCTAGGGAAGCTGTGAGGAGATCTCTAGTGCTTCTAAAGAACGGCAAATCTGCTGATGAGCTGTTGCTTCCCCTTCCGAAGAAGGCATCAAAAATACTTGTAGCTGGTAGTCATGCAGATAACCTTGGTTATCAGTGTGGTGGGTGGACCATTGAGTGGCAGGGCTTAAGTGGCAACAATCTCACCGAAGGTAAACAAAGATCCTTCTGTTTTTGCTGTCATAAAACATAATATCCTCTTGATACATGTTTGCCTATGAAATCTGTCGGGACTCTGAAAAAACTGACCTATTAAACTCTGTAAGAAACTTATTTTTCTCTTTAACAGGTACCACAATTCTTAGTGCCATTAAGAACACAGTGGATCCTAAAACCAAAGTAGTGTACAAGGAGAATCCTGATGCTGACTTTGTGAAGTCGAATGATTTCTCATATGCCATCGTTGTGGTAGGGGAACACCCGTACGCAGAGACGTTTGGTGACAGCCTAAACTTGACAATACCGGATCCTGGCCCGAGTGCCATCACAAATGTTTGCGGTTCTGTGAAATGTGTTGTTATCGTCATCTCTGGCCGTCCTGTTGTGATCCAACCATATGTTCCCTTGATGGATGCTCTTGTTGCAGCTTGGCTTCCAGGAACGGAAGGGCAGGGCGTAGCTGATGTTTTATTTGGTGACTATGGCTTCACGGGCAAGCTTTCTCGAACCTGGTTCAAAACCGTTGATCAGCTGCCGATGAATGTAGGAGACGCACATTATGACCCTCTCTTCCCCTTTGGATATGGCCTCACTACAACAACGGCCAATTCCAACTAGGAAACTATTTAGCGACTCCTCGTCAGTAATTTGCTCATGTCAGCTACTCTTCAATAGTTAATAGAAATCATTTAACTAATCTTCGATAAGTATGTCAGCTACACTTTTTATCAAAACGTGGAGAGATTATTTAGTGTCATTATATAAGTGGAGGAACATTTGGAACGGAAAAAAAAACTTCCCTCCACTTGTATAATAACTTATGATGTACCGCTCTATGTTTCGGCCACATTGAAAAATCTCTCCTAAACGTGCCAATCTACACCCTAACATCGCCCACTCTCTTACACCCCTTCTTGGAGAGTCCGTTAAATCCGTACGAAATATCAACGGGAATATCTCCGTGACGGTACGGTTTTATAACCAGTAACATGAGCCATTCAAGAAGAAAAAAGAGAGTTTTCTTTTATGCATATTAAAGAATCCCTTAAAGAATATAGTGACAGTTTGTTTCGATTAATAGTGTTACATGCGGGCATTATCACAGGAGAACAAAAGGGCTAGAAATGATTCACAAGATTTGTTCGAGTCCCAAAGTGTCAGTTGTAATCCCCTATACTTATCAGTTACAAATTATCATAGGAGCTAATTTAAGCACCCTTGTTGCTCTGCCACGGCTTGAACACCGCCACCACAATGATTGCAACGATGATAAGAAGAATGAGAATCGCAATGCACATCCATTTCCTCGAATTCTTTTGTAGCTTCTTGGCCTTCTGAAGAGCGGTATTCCCCTGCTGTACATGATCTACTGCACTTGATACCTGCGGAATGAAAGCACAACATACATGATCGTCTACCCAAGTGCGATACAAGAGTTGCACTCCACGTCATGTTTTTACAAATCAACTTCTGTTTTCTTTCGGGTTTGAAACTTTACGAAATTCAGGGGGTCATCATGCTTTGAAATTGTGGTAATTACCTGGGTTTCTATGTTGTCAAGCAATTCCCCTTGTGCATCAACCAGCACCGCCATATCCATAAATATCTGTGCATATGAGTTGGTGTTTAACATATAATATATACTCATGGCGAAACACAAACAGAAAGTTTTCCTTTTAGTTTTGCAGCTATTCTCACAGTCGGCCTCAATAAATCATGGCAATTAAAAGTGGACAATAACTTGGCTTTCTTATGAGTTACATGCCTAAACAGAGACTTACCACGTCATGACACAACTTAATAATCTACCGATCCTGCACTTTCTTACAGAAATGCAGAAAGATTTAACAGATTAATGTTATTATATTCATAAGGCAATACCAAATTGAAAACTCTAAATTAAAAGGCCTGTTGGTTCTGGTACTTTCACGTGATGGATTCCCTTGTCCTCCGTCATTGCTAGTCTGAAGACGGCTACTCCATTGCCATCCTCTATTTTTTGTATGCCTTAATGGCTTTTTCTAGCTAGTGTTATCTTCTCTTCCTGAGATTTACTTTCTCTGTATGGTTGGTATCACTATGTATCCCCAGCTGGGATCAGAGTCTTCTATGACTCCACTTGTACTTGTTATCTCTTTCAATATATTTCCTCATTTTTTCCAAAAATTAAAAGGCCTATGCTAGACATCTGTATTGTATAGCAACTTCATGTCTTCATCAGAGAGTACGCATCATTGCACAAACTAAGAAGATACCTGTTGTAAATCGAGAAGCTTCTTCTCAAGATCTCTAACAGCATCATGTCGCTCTTGAATTTCGGCCAGAGTGTCCATTATCTACAATTTGATACACAATTTTGGATGTGATCAATCTTAATCAGAAAATTCAATGTTTCAACAACCCAAGCTAACAAATTTACGAGAGGAGTTAGGAGCTTGGAATTAATTGTTCAAAGTGTCAAAAAGTTTGTCAAGTTTGTGAGAGAATTCAGAATTTTGATCATAAAATGTGCTTATTCGGGGGCATAGAATAAAAAGGGGAAATTGACAAACCTGGCCTCGCCCTTGTTCCTGGATTGCCTTTTGGAAAATTTGTTCACTGTCCCCTGTCTCGATTAATCTTTCAATTGTCTGTACAATGTTAAATGATTAGAAAATGAGCTTTCACAATGGTATAGATATACCATATTTCAACAGTGCAATAAGCTTTACCTCTTCATCAGCTCTTGCGCCCGTCACTAACGATAACAAAAAGCAAGAAAAATAAAATAGAAAATCAGATCATGGAAAATCAAGTAGATGTTCTAAAAATAGCAGCGATTCATGAGTGGCAAGTGAGGGGTTCAAACCTGTAAAAACTCGCCTCTCGACAACATCACGATACTCTTGATGGATGGTTTCCCTTAGAGTCTGCATATTTTGGAAGTTAAAAAATTTAGTGATGAAAGAAATAAAGAAACAGACATTAAAACAAAATGCATGTGTGGGTGCGTGTGGCCTACCTGAAATTCAGCCATCTTGTCCTTTAATTTCTTTTTCAAGGCACTGCAACAATAGATAACAGTGGACACTTGACAATGTTGGATTCAGTTGAGTTGACAAATTAATAAAAGATTTCTCAAACAAAGCATGTGTGAGGGAAAATCATTGGTGATCCCACAACTTAGGAGATACCAAAAGGAAATGAGGGGAAATAGGCATGAGGCATTTCAAAGGAAATTGTTGAAATACGAACTTACAGGGTTGTTGCTGTTCGGGATCTATCTACACCTGTTCCTTTTCCGCAACCAGCCTTCTGTCTATTTGCTAAATTCTGGACCCAGAAGGAAAGGTTAGTCCGACAAGCAAAATTACAGTGAACCACAGAAATAAAACCAAGCTTTCTGTTGAGTCAGGTTTTACCTCTTTGTCAAGTTCTTCAATTTTTGACTTTATCCAACGAGCAACTTTTCCAACTTCATCGACATCTTTTTCCATCCGTTGCTTGATTGCTGCACATGGTGAAAGGATCCATCATCTTTGTTGGGTTAATGAGGAAGGAAAAAATAAGTTGATGGATGCAAACAGAAGAAAGAACACCAGCAGAGGTAAACTGATTACAGGCGTTCTTTTTCAAAAATTATGAGAAAACACGCTAGAATAATTTCTGACATCTCCTGTCCTGCATGCATATCGTTTCCTCCCTTCATTTTAATCCATAGACATCATTACAGAACTATGAAAGGAACAAGCATACATAACATAAAAGAAAAATACGAATATAAGCATGAAAGATTCACGTGATTATCAAATTAATTAAACAAGTTTGAGATTACATTTCATTGAAGGAGCCTTAGTAATAGCCTTGGACTCCTCATGTGCACCCTGCAGACAAAAGCGATTAAAAGTGATAAAAAAAAGTGCATTTAATTTTTTATTTTTTATATCTCAAAGAATCATTACAACTATAATGCTCTCTAATTTTTTTAAGCTATTGCATAAGGCACAAAAATGTAAACACAGGAATTTTCCAAAATAACAGTTTCACAATATTTAAATTAGTGGGTACAAACACAGTAAATTTACCAATCTGGATGATGCATTATTTTGCAAATAAACAATACTCAGTCCAGTTGCTACACAATTCTATGTTACCTACACTGCAGTATGACGTTTATATGTTCGGTTTAGTTACAGTTATACTTGTTCATAACCTTATCACTAAATTCCCAATTTGATGAAACGATGTGTAACTAGAAATCCGTTAATGATATCACCACATATTGGCATCATGCATGCAATTACAAAGACGACAACATTATCAAACCAAAACAGGACTCAAATCTTTGAGCTTCTTGGATAAGTAAATTCACTCTCAATTAAGTTTAACGGCTGATGTCATCAGCACAACATGAAATTAGACCAAGTTAAGAGTAGTAAGTCTATACATTTTAGACAAGAGAACCCAACCAATTAGGAACTATGACAGCTGAGGCTAACAAAAAAACCTTCATGTTGCTGGTAAGGTAAGGAAAACATATTGGAAAGCATAATACCTGGAGCTTTTTCAAAAGCTTATCAAGCTTCTCATTTTGCTTCTCGATCTCTTGAACCTGGAGACAAAAATCATGAAAGCATTAGACAGAATCAACAGAAAGTAAACATAACACATACTCCATGTACAGAATAATTATCTATGGAAAAAGTAACGGAAAGAGAAATAATTGCGTTTCATGCATTTAAGGGATATTAAAGAAAAATAAGTCAAGGAAGCTAAAGCACCTTTTTGAAGAAATTCTCCAAACCAAGTTCTCCAGAATTCATTGAAGCATGTGCTCCTAGTTCAATATCCTGATCTCTCGAAGCTTGACCCCGAGGGATCTCAAAAGAATCCTGCAAGCAGTAATTAGGTCATAAATGTACTTGAACAAAACCTTAATCCCAAATCCGATTGCTTGAGTTCAATGGGGTTTAGGAAAGAAAGATAAAAGGAAAGAAAAGGCACGATAACTATGACTCGAACTTTCGTAACGACAAGACACTACTAAATTTCTAAGAACACATTTTGGTATATAATTAATATATACAAGCAAACACCAAACATAGAAAGGAAAACCGAGCCTCAATCGCAGATTAAATGGCTTGGGTATATGTCAAGTGTTATTCAGCAGTTCTGCATTATGTAAAAGTACAATACTTGCTTTGCAACTTCCATCATTGTCCTTATCGTTAATCATTTCAATTCCAAAAATGAGAAAAAGGGAAGTACTTCTCACAAATTAAAACAAGTTTCGTTTATAAAGATCTTAAGTGATTCAAACACCAATGCCGATGAACTCTGTTCAAAAGCTGAGAAACCAAAAACAACACAGGAAAATAAAAGGAAAAGAAACCAAATTGTTCAATTTTCTCAGTTTAGGGTAACACCAAACTGTTCGAAAGCTGCAGTAGCTCGTGTTGATTGAGCTGCAATGAAGTATGTTTGTACCATACTTGATCAATTCCAAAACTACCAAGCACCGATCAACATTATACCATCAAGGACCAGTTTCCCTCCAACTAGAAGGTCAATCACAGTGCGACACGTGTCGACATCAGAAGCTAATTACAACACAACACGTGTCAATATCAGAACAAAGCTAGAAACTCTCTTCTATAAAAGGATATCATTCTTCTACAATATTTCCTAATGTCATTTGTCCTAAATCATTCACTAGTACTCACAGCTTGATCCTAAGGGTAAATCCTTCACAATTAATGAGAACTCCACGACGTAACCAATCTGGGTGAACCACGTACATCTTATGTTTATTTCCCTATCTCTATCCATTTACATAATTATCCACACTAACCGAAGCAATCTAGCGAATATCACAAACTTAACACTTTCTGTTGTACCAAAGTCCACATTGATTTTGTGGATCTACAAAGTAAAACCCACCACTTCCATTCCCTAAAGCACAATGCAAAATCCCATGATTCAAAAACTTTCAATTCTTCCATCAATTTCCCTCCTTTTTCTCACTAACCAAACAGAAAGTAAAGAAAACCAAAACCCCATAAGCCAAAAATTCAAAAAAAATCATTAAAAAAGCAGATCCAATAACATCAAACGCAGCCGGATCATGACAAAAACAGAGCATCAAAACCTCCAAACATGCCCAAACATACAAACCATGGCATAAATTAATGAAAGAAAATCAAATACATTACCGTTAGCAGGTCGTTCATTGTCGAGGGCAGCTGACAAATGCAACAAAGAAAAACTACAGCTTGCGAAGAAATTTAACAAAAACTAAAAATTTAAGAAAAACAAATTGAAGGTTTTTTCCCTGTGAGGGACCTGGTTAATTGAAAAAACCAGGCCACTGTTAGGGTTTCCAGAGGAGAGGGAGAGCGAAACCAAAAGAAAGGGAAGGAAAGAAAGAAAGAAAGAAAGACGATGCTTTTTGCGCTGGAGATGTTGCAGCTGAGGGGAGAGAGACAGATCAGAGACAGAACGTGATTTTCTTTTCTGTTTTAAATTTCTCACTTTGTTTTCAGTAAATTCGTTTGTTACTTTTTTATTTTTAAATTATTATTGATTTGTTACTCAATGTGGGAATTTTCAAAAAATGATATTATCAACTTGAATGATAGATTTTTCAGTGTAATCAGTACATTAAGTGGTACATCATTTATCACTATATAAATATTGAGATATATATGCTAAAATGTTAATAAATTAAAAAATAAAATTTTCTATCACTCCTATTAAAACACGTGGTGTACCACTTCTATTCTCATCACAACTAAAAATTTCTTCTCGTAAAGAAGTGGATTAAACTTTACAATAACTAGCAATAATACAGTACAAATTTATTTTTTAAGAAAATTAAACTTAAAATTTATCACTTACAAACAAAAATAAAGAAAAATACTATTAGTACGAAATGACCTTAACCTAGGCAATTTGAAAGAGAAAGAAGTGGCACTTTCTATTTTTAAATGACGAAAGTGGCCTTTTGATTTCGGCTGTTTTTCTCTACTTACATTACACGACAGCCATTGAAAAACTATGTAGCATGTGTTATGTCGGTCATGGCGGTGGACCTACGAGGTTCCACAAGTACATTTATATTAAACTAAGGTGCCTTCAATTACGCTCAATTGTTTTCTAAATTCACATTATTTAGTTTCTTCTTTGATAGTTTTTTTAGAAGGTTAAAAATCTATTAGTACACCTATAAACATTCAAATTGTTCCTTATCAAACCCAATTTGGATAACTTAACTTTTAAGTTTATTATGCATCATCGAAACTTACAAGTTCATAATGAATGTTAAAAATTCTTGATAAAAAGGACATGAATCATTGACTAAGGTTCAGTCCGATTGCACCTATCCTTGTGCATTCAACCTCAAATCTTGGACTATGGTTATGTAGAGAAAAAAAAAAATTCAATCATGGTTCTTCAAAAAATAATACTGGACGGTGAAAGAAGTTCACTCGATCAACATCCAAAATTTATAATTTTATTTTGTTTTTAATTCGCTTATCTTTATATATAAAGCCAACAACAACTCCTTTTGAGGTCACAAGCTTCACAAAAAAATAAGTGGACAGAAATGCTGCTCAAACAAAGCAGCCAAAAATAATGCATCAAATATGATAGGAGTATTTTTGTCATTTTAAAAGTATTTTTTTAATAATTATTTTTTTTGTACATTATTTTTTTTATTTTATAATTAGTACCTCACAATAGGCTAGTAATAATGTGTTTCAACAAGTTGTTCATTAAATATTTTTTTTTCAATTTTTAAACACCTTCAAAACATCTTAAGAGGCATGTAATACTGGTTATAAAAAATGTTTTTCGCACGCACATAATAATATGATTAAATTAGTTGTCAAATGATTGTTTTTTTTTTTCTTTCGAACAAACGATATTATCTACACTAAGGGGGAGGGAGTGAGCTTAGTCTTACAATGAGCTAGCAATAATGTGATTAAATTAGTTGTCAAATGATTGTTTTTTTTTTCTTTCGAACAAACGATATTATCTACACTAAGGGGGAGGGAGTGAGCTTAGTCTTACAATGAGCTAGCAATAATGTGATTCAATAAGTTGTTTATTAAATATTATTTTCTCTATTCTTAATGTAAATTCAATAGAGACAAATTATTCATTTACTTCAACTATTTGACTTTCTTTTTGTTAATTTACGCATATAAATACATTTAAAACGTGCAAATCGTACAACGTGATTCAAAAAATGTTCTCTTAACGAAGGGCAAGAAGGAAAGTACAAAATTGATTAAAAGTTTGGCACCCTAAAAATACAGACCAAAAAATACTATTGGAACAAGGAGGGAGGTTGCGATGTGAAAGTGACCGGAAGGTAGGGAGGGGTGAGGGGTTCAGACTTGGAAGAAGACTTAAGAGCTAAGTAAATTTTCTGATCCAAGTCGTCGACGTTGGAGTTTCGGAGAAAACACACAAAACAAAACGCCACGTATTGGGTACGCACACTACGCGGAAGAATCAAGAAGGTGTCGGTCCTTTGCGTGTTGACGAAAATACCGACAGGTGGCCGCCCGTGGCACAATCAATCCAATGCCCAACAGCTTTCCGTATTTCCAATTATGTTTATATATCGGTCAATTTGCACATCGACTCGATTCGAAGCTAACACAATTTGCAAAGGAATCCAAAGCTCTCTCTCTCTCTCTCTCTCTCTCTTCCTCTCTCAAGTTACTGAAGAAGGAGGCAGTCAAACCAGAGCTTCCTTGAGGTACTGACGATTCGTTACTCCAATCAATTCCGGTTACGGATTAGTAAACGTGTAGTTTTTGTGATCGATCGTGAATGCGTGTTATGAAATTGTGATTCTTTCTTGTTGCTTTTATTTGATGTTATTGTGTTGATTTGTGTACTGCTTTCGCATTTTCTTGAGGACAACATTGTTGCTTTATTTACTCATTTGCGTTCAATTGTATCAATTTAATTACTTTGTGGGAATTTGGAGAAAAACGTTATCGAATTGTGCTCAAATCACCGTTCAGAAATCGATTTGATATGCTGTCCTTTCCCTTACAACAGAATCGTGTTCGTGTCTTGAGAATCCTGACTGTTTATATGGAAATCTCTCTGTTGGATGAAAGTGATAGGTTTTCCATTAAGTGTAGGACAAAGTAGGGGTCGATTAAAGTGGCTAAAATTAGGGAACTCAGAGTTTGTGTTCCATCCTCCGAACCTTTGCAAGTTTGGGGAAATCTTAAGCCCTGTGTGTATCGGCTGTGTATTTCGAAAAATGACAACAAATTGTTAACTAGAGCTAGATTCTTTTGGAACACTCTTTCGCCCTTTATCGACTGTTGCTTGCCGCCAAAGATATGCATAACCTTGTCCCGGATCTGTACTCTGTGTTTTGTGATGGTGAACTGAAAGTAAGCATGGTCTCTGCAATGTGCCGAGTATTAGCAAGCAGAAGGGATTTATACTTTTTTTTAGTTACTTCGTTTTGTACATCACCAAGTTCAGCTTCTTCTTTTTTTCTTTTTTTTTTTTTTTTTAATCTACTGAATTTGTTTTCCGGATTACTGATCGCACGGTTGATTTGTTTTAGGGATCTCAGGTTCGGAGGAAACTGTTTTGCGTTTCGAGTTTTGGCAGATAGTCTGTAGATGGAAGACAAAACTGAATATAAACGAGAAGAAATTGAAAAGGTTCAAAAGGAAGAACGGTTTATGGTGATGAAGACCAAGGATGTAGAACCAGGCGACCTGAAGGAGGAGAAGACTGAAGTGGAACTTGAATCTAAGACCAAGTCAGTGGTAAAAGAAAAGTCGAAACATGAAAAGGATGAGGATAAACATAAGGATGCAGACGAGGAGAAATCGAAGAAGAAGGATAAAGACATAACGAAGAAGGAAAAGAAGAAAGAGAAGGATAATGAAGCGGGAGAGAGTGAAGAAGATAAAAAGGAGGACAAGGAAGAGAAGAAGAAAAAGAACAAGGAGAAGAACGAAGATAAAGAAGATGATATAGAAGGGGGAGAAAAAGAGAAAAAGAAGAAGGATAAGAAGGACAAAGGTAAAGATTTAGAGGAAGGGGAAAAGGTGGATGATGAAAAAGAAGGGAAGAAGAAGGAGAAGAAAGACAAGGATGAGGAAAACGACGGTGATGATAAGAAAAAAGGAAAGAAGAAGAAAGACGAGGATGAGAAAAAGAAGAAACACAAGGGCGATGATGAAAAAGAGAAGAAGAGCGATGAGGTAAAAGGTGACTACGATAAAAAAGAAGGGGAGAAGAAGGAGAAGGATGATAAAAAGAAGAAACACAAGGATGGTGGTGATGAAAAAGAGAAGAAGAGCGATGAACAAAAAGATGACAAAAAAGAAGGAAAGAAGAAGAAAGACAAGGAGGACAAAAAGAAGAAACACAAAAATGAAGAGGATGAGGAGGAGGTCAAGGCTGAAGTTACTTCCAGGGAGATTGACATTGAAGATAATGTAAAGGAATCAAAGGGTGAAGCAGAGGAGACGCGTAAGGATGAAGGAAAGGACGATAAAAAGAAGAAACACAAGGGCGGTGATGATGAAACAGAGAAGAAGAGTGATGAGGTAAAAGGTGACGATGATAAAAAAGAAGGGGAGAAGAAGAAAGACGATAAAAAGAAGAAACACAAGGGTGGTGATGGCGAAAAGGAGAAGAGTGATGAAGTAAAAGGTGACGGCAATAAAAAAGAAGGGGAGAAGAAGAAAGACAAGGATGATAAAAAGAAGAAACACAAATACGGTGATGATGAAAAAGAGAAGAAGAGCGATGAGCAAAAAGATGACAAAAAAGAAGGAAAGAAGAAGAAAGACAAGGAGGACAAAAAGAAGAAACACAAAAATGAAGAGGATGAGGAGGAGGTCAAGGCTGAAGTTACTTCCAGGGAGATTGACACTCAAGAAAATGTAAAGGAATCAAAGTGTGAAGTAGAGGAGGAGACGCAGAAAGATGAAGGAAAGGAGGGTAAAGAGAAGAAAGATAAAGAGAAAAAGGTGAAGGGGGAGAAGGGGGAGAAGGGCGAGAAGAAAAGGAAAGTCGATAAAAAGGACAAAGGCAGTGATGTTGTAAAGCTGAAACAGAAGCTAGAGAAGATCAATGGCAAAATAGAAGGCCTACTTGAGACAAAGTCAGACATCATGAGGCAGATAAAAGAAGCCGAAAGTGCAAGCCCCACTGTTGCTGAGAAGCCCACAGAAGCAGCAGCATAGCAATCTTTGGTAGCGCATTTCACCTCTCTATACTATGGTCAATACTTCGTGTTTGATATTACTTGAATAAAGTGTTCCTGGTAACGAATAAACGTAATCTGTTAGTGTGGTTTTCTTATGTTGTGCAATTTAGAAGTGATCCATGTGTAAACTGATGTTTTGTGTGGACACCTCACATTTCGGTGGGTGTTAGGGCAGCGGAATATGTACCAGAGGAAACCCAGTAAGCTGGAGTGGGTTGGTATGTGTATCAACTTACAGGACTATGATGGGAGGTTTCGGTAGGATGTAAATTACTTGAAATTTTGTTTTGCTTGTAAACAAAGAGGCTGTATAACTTTTTATATGAAATTACAAATTACAGTTGTATGCATGTGATATTTTCTCTGTATTCAAGACTTGTTTTCTTCTGAGAAAGCATGCAGCTGCCGCCTGAATTTCCTTCTTTTCGATCTAACTAGCTTTAGATTTGGAGCTGATGAGGCTATATATTTTTTCCGGGTTAAGTAGTTTTGCCCTTTTGAGTTTTAAAGAAAGTGACATACAGAGAGCCACAAATTGCTCTGAGCGGTGGTGGCATATGCCTCGATTGTTTGCATATTTCTCCCGCGAAGTAAATTTTCTAAATGGACCTCTGTGCACCAGCGAGGAGCCTCTCCTACATAAGGGTTCGTTTGGATGTGCTTTTAAAATGATTGAAAGTGCTTTTAGATAAAATTGTTTTAGGTTTTAAAAGCACTTGAAGTGCTTTCTGCAAGAAGCACCAATTATGTACTTCTTCTAAGAAGCACTTTAAATGTTTTTCAGAATTCACTTGTATTTTTACTAAAGATTGGTTCTAAAAACATTTTCATCAAAAGCGCTTTCAATCATTTTAAAAGCACATCCAAACGAGCTCTAACATTGTAGTTCAAAATTTGAACAAATAGGAGGCAGTGTGAGCTACATGTGTTTTAATCCGCTAAATTTTGCTCGAATTCTGGCCAACAAACGAGCAAGTGCATGATTAAAAAACGGAAAGCGAACAGTTTTCGAAATGAAATGTATCGACAAAAAATTATCTGAGAGACCGCAATGAATCATTTCCTGTACTCGTCATTTGTTCTCTACAAGAAAATTACATGTGGCTTATCTAACAAGTAATAACTTTTTCTATGAATATAAACCTTATATCAGTAAAACGGTGTACAAACTCTGATTGGCTTACTCCAAGCGCATCGATTTGTCCTCGATCCTCGTCTTGTGTGAAGTTAATGTCATCTCTACCTCCAAAACTTTCCATTTTGGTAGAAAACGATGGAAACTGAATGCCGCAGTATAGTAAAAAGATGGGAACTGGATCGTATGCAGATCCAACTTTAGTCATTCGGGTCCATTTCCTCGTCCTGATCAGAGTAGAGAGTAGCATTAGTTCTGTCACTGTCATTTGATTCTGGTTGTTCGTCCAGAGTACTTCCGTACTGGGACAATTCATTGTCCTCCACTCCCTCTTCCCCAGCTGAATCCAAAGGAACTTCTTGACCATGCTTCATCCACTTCGGGCACTCTTCTTCGCCTCCATATACAGTTCGGCCATCATTACCTTTTACATGAACTGGAGCATCGGCAGAAGACATTCTACAAGAGCATTCGGGGAGTGGGTGTGAAATAAACAAGGCTGGCTTTGACACAACGGATTGCCTTGTAAGGCCTTCCTCACTTAAGCTTTTCTTAAGATGTTCCTGCACTGAGAGTGTCCAATTATGCTTGGGATGGTAGACATTGTCCCTCGTCATGTTGAAAAGTTGTGCTACAACTTTCCTGTTCGAAAAGAGGACACACAAAGTTAAACAAGATCATCAATCATATATAAAAGGTCGAATTAGATTCTTTTTTTTTCTTCTCTTGCCTGTCTGGTCGGTATGTTCTAGAAGAAGCAACCTCATACAAACGGTGTCCCATGACCAAGCTTGAAAAATCTGGCCATCCACTGCCATCATTGTTAAAACCAGGAAAGAATGTGTCTGCTTCCACAGAGACAATATAATCAAGAGCATCCCAAATTAGTCTATGTGCTTGCATTCTCAGATCCAAAGCAGAAAGGTCTGGTTCGATGTCAGTCTCAGTAATCCAACCATACCAGCCTTCTTTTTCATGTTGATAGATAGGTCTACCAGGAGGTGGAGGAAGAGGCCGAGGCCTAGGACCAGCCTTCTTCCATTCTTCTTTAAGTTGTTCCTCGCTTTTTGCTGGAGGTGGATGAAATGGATTTTGCGGAAGAGGTGTTTCAGGTCCAAGTATATCAGCCAATTCTTTATTGCTGCACAAGGAAGTGCGATCCACTAAATTGGGAAACATAGCACGCAAAGGGACCAGAACACGTTGACCCCCAAATGTTTCAGAACCAGCCAGATATATAATTGTTTTAGGAGAAAACCCCATTGAACGAAGAAGAATTCCAACCTGGGAAAGTCTCAAGAAGAATAAATGAGCTAATGAACAACGGAAATGTAGATAGATTGATTTATTAATTATCATCAATGAGCCCATACGTTATCAATGCACCACCAAAACTGAAATTATACAGTGGAAAATGACACAATAAGTAGAAGATCAAATTTATACCATGATTCTTAGTCACAAGCTTGTTCACAAACGTATTAACATGCTTGAGTCAAGCCCCGGAATAAGAACTCAAGCTTGAGATAATATACAGGGTTTTCAAGCCCAGGTTCTTTCCTTCTACTACCCTCCCCTCCCTTTTTTATCTTATGCTTTTGGTCAAGGTGATGACCCAATTAGGGCCAGTCAAGGAGGTAATGTAGAAATCACAGTGACACATATCCTTATTTTGAGTGGATACCTTTAGAAAGGATCAGTCCTTACTCTTATTCGATGTCTATTCATCATTTTCTCCTTTAAAATAAAATTTTCAAGTAATTAAAATACGAAAGTTATTTTTATGAATTAGATGGTGTTGGATTAACTAAATTCTCAGCGTCATTCCATCCTCTACTGTTTTTTCTGGTCTGCATCCTTTTTTTTTTTTGAGAAGAAACAATTTTATTAAAGAATAGAGAAATACACAGAAGTGGATAAGAAGTCCACCAACAAATTAGAAAGGAAAATCCCAATAGGATTTGGCTACATCAGCCAATTCTAGACCTAGCTCACTTAACTGCTGCTAACAAATCCCACAGTATTTGAGATAGAGAGCAATTATTAAACTCTTTAGTAACCGAAGCCAATTCTGGTCTGCATCCTTGACTTAATAAACCTATCACTTGAGCATAAATTTTTGGAAACACAAATTCCACTCCCATTGTAATGTTAATATTTAATATTTAAAAGCGAAATTGATAGAAGGATGCTTGAGGTTCTGCTTTTTCTGAACTGCTAAAATCAATTCAGTGTTGAGTGAGTGCCAAGGAAGCTTAATTTCACAACCAGCACTGAAGTTCACTACTAATCTTCTAGACATTCTTATGGCATTGAAAAGTGAAATTTTCAAAACAATAAAAAATGAACCACGAGAAAGAAGCATCAGGCTGGACTAAAAGCCACACAACAGTACTTACAATTTACAAATACATAAGCTGGATCTCAAATTAGTACTGAGCTTACCTCTTCAGGCATCAGCGGGCATGAGCCATTTTCTCTACGCAAGTGTGAATCTATGCTTAGTTCCTCATGAACAATGCCCTTTTTAATCATTTGTTTCCTTCGATATTGTATGAGTTCAGTGTGAACATCCTACAGAAAAGTAGCAAGTTAGCAAGATAACTTTGATAACCATGACAGTGAATGGACACGCTGTTAATATTTTGCAGTTGTTTAAGGTAGAAACCACCTGTACTCAAGAGGAGGGAGAGAACTCCAAAACTGAATTTTTATCGGACTTAGATTTTAACCAAGGAACAAAGGAGAACAATCGTTTTAACACTAACTTAGACTTCACAGGCAGAGATATGAAAAAGATTGTAACCAGAAAGTTTAAGCTGTGTGTATGTGTTGGACAGAATTATGTTAAGTTGTAACACCCATCACATGTGAACCTCTTTCCATCACTAAGGACCAACGTGTGGAACTCAACTTAATATTGGAATTTCATAATTGGAGGTGGTTCAAACTTAGGTTCTATTACTCTAATACTATGATAAAGTCTAAGCATGTAGATCAACAATTTATATTTTCACAACTACCAAAGATAAAACTGGCTAAAACATCTTACCTGAAAAAGTTCAGCACAGCCATGATATGCCAAGGTTTCTCTCACTAAACCAGGATGATACGCTAGGAAAGGTTGACCCCATGCACGTAACCTATTGGAGTATAAAAGCCACATTGATCAACTGAAGGAAAATAGTTCTTAGAAGTAAATTATTACAAGAAGTGAACGGGGTCCACCAGAAGCCACGTAAAATGATTTTGGTTGAGGTATTGTTACTTGTAATCAGATCTATTTGAGAGGTCTTAGCTAGCTTTGCTATATGGTGGATTTCTTATGCACTATTTTTTAATTCTTGTTTTTATTTTAATAAAGTGTTATCGTTTCTTCTCAAAAAAAAAAAAAAAAAAAAAGGAAACTAATAAAGATCCATCATCTACAGAAGCTACATAAATAAAAGCTATGACACAAAATAATCACATAACTGCCTTCTAATCTAGTAATATATACGAAAGTAATAATCCCTAAACTCTGATGAGATAGAATCAATCCCCAAGCAAAAACCAAAACCTCACCCCTTCCTAGAAGAATATGACCACACTAGCGGATATTATAGGAAACTTCACGTGGCCTTTGAACCTCTTTAAGAGGATGTGTTCACTTTGACTGCTTGGAAAACCTAGGCATATCCATTAGGCTTATAGTTTCCATTTTCCTTATACAAACTTCCATCCAATTTGTAGAAAGCCAGACCTAAGACTTTCAAAGATAAAATTTCCTTACTCCATAACTCGACCCCTCCTGTTGACTCCATCCTTCTGGTTAACTCTATCCCTCCAGTTAACTCTATCTATTACCTAATCTTTCCAACTCAACCGTAACCTTCAAATAAAATCTATTTAATTAAAAACATCTTGCATCAGATGGTCTAAGAGCAGTCTATACTAATCAAGTTCTCTAAACACCAATATCACTCTATCGGTTCAAATCTTCAGGAAAAAAGGTGCGTTGCTAGATTCATACCTCTCCACCATCTTGTGTCCAAGCATTTGAATTTCTGGCCTGAATTGAAGTGCATGGAAGGCAACCCTGCATCTAAGTCTTTGAAACTCGGCCATGTTTGGTGGAAGGATTGACTGAAAATAGGATTATATTGCATCAACACTTAAACTTAATTGTCAAGCATGCATGCTTGTAACACAGAAATCACTAAGTGAAAAGAAACAAAACAGACTCACTACTAA